TAACACCCTAGAGTAGTGTACCAATGTGGCGGTCCGAGAGAATACTTGATATTCCCATTGGATTTGGAAATCTTTGCTAAAGTTAGTATTGATTGGATGACCAAGTATGATGTGCACCATGTGAGTGCCCTAGACACATGATTCAGTACTTTGCACATGTCGGACTTATCGATTGATTTTCAATCAATGCGGGGATTAAAACCGAACATTGCCGTTGCACCTTTATGTCAAACTATCAACTAGGCGACCACAACAGAGCCTCGGACACTTAAGGTCTACGAAGGTATTAAAGAACAAGAGTTGACCTGCTGGATAGAATTTTTCTTGCATCATAAATCCGCTTTTGCTTGGACTTATGATGATCTAAAAGATATCCCCACTGAAGTTTGTGAGCATCATATCATTTTAGAGGAAAATGCTAAACTGGTACGGCAGAGACAATATTGCCTTAATCCTAAATATTCCCTCATGGTGAAGGAGGAATTGGACAAGCTTCTTGCGGTTGGTTTTATTGACTCCGTACCAAATAGTGAGTGGATTTCTCCAATCATGATGGTATCGAAAAAGAATGAGAAAATCCAAATTTGTCAGGATTTTTGAAAACTTAATGCAGCAACCAAGAAAGATTACTTCCCATTACCTTTCACGGATAGTATGGGTAATATGCTGTCATTATCACTAGGTAGTAAGAGAATAGGAGTGTGGCACTAGTTAGAGGTCATTATATGGTGTCATTTTGGATTGTTTTTTTTTCTTCTTAGATTGCCATTTCTTATGTTTCTTGTGTATTTGAGAGTAGTATTTCCAGTTAAGAATTTGAGAGAGGGAGTGTCATGGCAATTGAAAGTACAAAGCGAACTACAAACAAAGAGGACAATGGCCAAAATGTGAGAGTTAGACGTGCATCAAAACCACCTTCTATGATAATCATTACCAATATGGAACCAATGAAGTTAGATATCTACTAGACGTTGAGAAGAATAAAAGACTTTTGGAATGTGCAGTTGTTCCAATTTTTGCACCAATCAGATCACTTATCATTAATTAATGTGTTATTAGTAGAGGAATATATCACAAATTACGACCCGAAGGATGGATCGAGTATTGTACAAGGGCAAATTATCGGGATTGATGAAACAATCTTGGAAAAGGTGTTGTTTCTTCCCATTGGAGAGATTGTGGCAGGGATTGATGACTCAAGTGACTTCAATCCAGGAAGATATTTCAAGGGTGGTATATCGGCCTTTGAGAAGAACCAAGGTTGGCGAACTGCTGAGGTAATTTTACCAGAATTCGTGGAATGATTTCGTTTTGTAGTGAGGCGGATAGGATTGTATCGACATCCCACATGTATGTCTAAATGGTTATTATATGAAGCGATAAGGGCACTTGAAGAGATGGTGTTTAACTAGGCAGCTTATATAGCTAATCGTATTCATGCAGAGATAGGAGCCAAGTAGAAATTGGGAAAGTTCACATATTTGCTTTGTTTTAATTATGTGTATGCTATGATTGCGCACGTATTGCATCAAATACCGCTAGTAGAAAAAAATTCTGTACGAGTGTCAATGCCTCCGTAGAGAGAACAAAATTTGTTGGCATAGAATGTCAATACATCGGATGTAATATACAAATTGGGGAGTCAAGTTGTATAGTAGCACAAAGGGTCGTTCCAATTATTGAATTTGAACGGGTTCCAATTTGTTTACAGGTGGAGTAGGAGAATGAAACCCCAATTTTGATGGATATTAATCAGTTGGCCTTTCCACACTGTCAATTGCCCAAAAGAATGCCTCTTAAGAATGCTTTATTGAAGCACATTTTACAAATAGATTGTATGGTGCGAGTATTGGATGTAGAGGGTAGTAACAAATGGGATTTGGATTTGTCAAAAAATAAGAATCCATCTACATTAAACTTGAAATTGATTAGATCTTCATTGTTAATTCTAGATTTATTTTTTGCACCCATGTTGAGCCAAAAAACATAAGCCTTTTATTGTAATAAAACAAAAACTAAATTCTACTTCCACTACAAAATTGCAAAACTATCTACACCTTTGAACGTACAAATTCTTAAGCTAATTTCTTGATTAGTCAATAAGTCCCTTATAATATCCAACTTCTAAGCTAAATAAGTACTAGAAAAATGATTAAAAGTAGTGATGCTACAATAATAGACATATGAAGGAAAAAAATAAAAATAAAAAAAAATTGTCAACAATCAATTCCAATACTACTACCATCATAAGAAGAAATTTTACAAAGAAAACATATTGCATTGCAAGAATCCTACAATAAACAAAAAAAAGATGTTGATAATGGAAGCAATGTCTAATTCTAAATAAAGAGTTTTTTTTGTATTGAGCTATGTCATTGTCATAATAAATAAATTTGCATGAAAATATAATAGACAATTGGTTGCAGTCAATAAAATGGAACTTGCAACAAAAAGATCCTAACAACTTTAATAGAAGTTTAAATAAATTCTAAATAAATTATAATAATATTAATCAATATTTAATTAAATTCCAAAATAGTCTTAATTTTTAAAAAAAAAATCTAAAAAATCATAAATTAATCTTTAAGAAATATATATACTATTTTTTTTTAAAAAAAATTAAAAATAAAAACTCTAATTGAATCCTAACCAAATTTTAATATAATCTTTAATAAATCTTAATAAAATCCTAAACCAACTCTAACCAAATCCTACAAAAATCCAAATCAAATCCTAATGAAGTCCTAAACAAATCCAAAAAAAAATCATAACCAATCCTAATCAAATTCTAATGAAATCCTTACAAAATTCTAACCAAATTCTAATGAAACTCTAAATCAATCCTAACCTAATCCTAATCAAATTCAAAATAAATTCTAACCAATTTCAAACCAAATTCTAACCAACTCCTAATGAAGTTCTTAGCCAATCCTAACCAAGTCCTAAACAAATCCTAAAGAAATCTTAAGTCAATGCCAATCTAATCCTAAATAAACCCTAATGAAATCCGAATGAAATCCTAAATCATAAAGATGCTCTCAACAATCTCTATAACACCTTCAACCTAAATCTACATATTGTTGTACACTCACATCTGACATATGTCTTAAAGATATAAAATTATAGTATTACCCATAAAGTATATGTAGTTAAAACATTGTATCCTGAATGACAAAAGCAATATTAAAATTCGATGTTAGGAAAAAACTTAGAACCTTTATGAGACTCGAAAAGTACAACAAAGCACACTCACTGACACACAAGCTGTGCAATCGATTTTACTCAAAAACTTTGGTACTAAATTAAAAATAAGAATCTAACGTTGCGCGGCAATATAAATAAATATATTCCTAAATATTTTAATTCCAGTAACAGGTACATACATTAAAATATACATTATCAAATCAAAAAATAAACATTCATTCCACGATAAAATTAGAAAAAATGTATACTAGTGATGTATAAATGTAAGCATACATGACTATGACTGTGACTATGAGTGTATGTACCTGTCTAAAACTACACACACAAAAAGAAAAAAAAGAAAAGAAAAGAAAAGAAAAGAGAAAGTAAACAGAAAAAAGTACATATTAAAACGGAAAATGATAACGACAACAGCAAATATAAAATCAACATGTTTATGAAAAAACAATACTAACAAAAACAAGTTACCAATTTTGAATCATGATACCTATAACAAAACAAATACATGTATAAATGTAAATAAAGTTCTTCAAACCACCATCAATAATTTATAAACCAATATGTAAAATACAATGGATTTAAATGCCAGAGTGAGTTGCAAGCATAAAACTAAGACAGGGCAGAGCAGTTCCCATGATGAACGAAACAATATGCATTCCTCCGCTAATTCACAAATTCATCCATCCAACAATCCATCCATCATTCCAAGGTGGAATAACACACTCTCGCTGTCTACCTGACGTCTCTTTAGGTCATCTCGGAATGCTAACAAACGCACACCTGGGTCTCCCTCCCTCCCTCCTTGCCTGCCCACATCATCCATCGCCGATGGTGAAGTGTAAGGATAAAGGTTGCAAAGCAAAGAGACCATTCAAACTTATGATCTCGACTCATTGCAGGAGGACACGACGCACGGTCATTGGAGGGAACCAGGGACCAACGCCAAAGGCTAAGGAGAAGGAATGAATGAATGATCACGAAGCAAGCAAATGCAGCATGGCACAGACACAGCCCATCAATAAACAAACACACACACACACACACAACCGGGTCTGGGAGGAAGGGCCAGGCAGATATTTCATCCATCCATAAATCCATTCATCCACAAGAGGACACGTGACTGAGTGAGAGTCCAGGGAGTGCCATCCCCAAGCCCGCACCCAACCAGCCAATCCTCCTCCTCCACGGATGAGGGTCCCCAGTGCAGACGACGGTGGAGCACGAAGAAGAGAACAAGAAAAGAAAAGCGGGCGAGAGAGAGCGAGAGAGGGCCAAGGCAACGAAGCCAAAGAGCACTCACTCGTCAGAAGATAAAAAAAAGGACCAAAATCTTCCGCCATTCCGGCATTCCCTCGCCACACTGGGACCAGCGGGGGCGCCACCACCAACCCCAACCCCGTCTTCTATTTTTGCCCTCGCAACATTACTCCTGCCACACGCGGGAGGGAACCAGGGAGCACATCACACCAACACAAACGCAACGCAACCCAATCATCCAACTACAACTGCAACAACGCAGGCCCAGGCGCAGGCGCAGGCGCTGAGGAGGAGAGAAAGAAAGAACGACAGAAAGAGAGGGAGAGAGAAGCAGGAGGAGCATCGTCATCAGCAGCAGCAGCGCATCCCCTCGCCACGGCTCCGGCAACGCTTCCCCAGCTATCACAGCCATTCTGGAGGCAACCCCGCGGAAACCTGCTGCTGCGTCACCACGTCACTCTCCACGGAGGGAGGGGGGGAGAAAGAGAGCAAGCCAGCCAGCACCCCGGTCGGTAGAGTACGGCCGCACTGGCCAGCTTGGATGCGGGCAGCAGCAGCAGCATCATCGCGCAACGTGTTAGGGTGCCGCGGAGGAGTCGCAGGAGTTCTGGGGCGGGCGACGTCGCACGCCCAGGCCGCGGATGGGCTTGTGCAGGAGGCAGGACGCATGCTGCTGTTTATGCGCAGTCTAGTTTTGCGAGGGCTGTCAGGGGGTGGCTGTGCTGCGGGTTCCGCTTGCAGGCACATCGTTGCGGGTGCGAGTGGGTGGCAGCAGGCGGAAATCGGCCGGCGTCGGGCCGTCTGGTGCAGTCGGGTAGGTTTGCGGACGGGGCGCAGGGCAGTCGGCCGGGACGCAGCGCGGCGCTGGATCTGCTGTGGTTGCGGTGGTTTCGGGTATGCGCAGGAGGTGGTTTTGGCGGTGCGAGTGCGGCGGGGCGTGGTGCGTAAAATGGCCGGCTGTTGGGTAGCTCGTGGAGCGAATGACGGCAGTGGTCGAGGAAGTGTGGAGAGTGGGGTTGTTGGTGATATCGGGGCTAGCTTCTGAGAAGGGGCAGGGTATGGTGCCGGACGACGGCGATGATGACAGCCATCGGCGCTGAGTGAGACGATAGGGAGTTTGTGGGCGAGATATATATATATATATATATATATATAGAGAGAGAGAGAGAGAGAGAGAGAGAGAGAGAGCGCAAGAGAGCGAGAGAGCGAGAGGGAGACGCCCCCTCGCGGGCGCCATGCTTTCTTTGAACAAGCGGCCCAACGGCGACGGTAGTTGTGCGTACGTGGTGTCGTGCGTGCTGCCGGACGGCGACGATCGTCGCATCGTGAAGTCGAGGAAGTTTGATTGCAGGGGCGCGGACGATGTGGAAGCGCAGCGGAGCGCGGTCCGGTTCGCGAGGGCGACTGATACGGTGGCGGAATTCCGAGCATTCCTGTTGGATGAGGGGGAGGGAGCGGGAGCCGGAAGGGCGAGGGTGAGGTCGTACGTGTGCGTGCGCGAGAAGCAGGGGACAGGGGTTGGATATGCCGTGGCCATGTGCCGGTTGGAGAGCGGGCAGTTGCGGAGCATTTCGTTCTTGCGAGGGTCGGGCGCGGACGAGGCGGCGGATGCGAGAGGAGAGGCCGAGGGACAGGCCGTGGGAAGGGCGGTGCAGTTTTTGCGCGGCGTGGGGTTCGAGAGCTGGCGCAAGCAGGCGGGCAGGGAGGCGGTGGTGAAGGGGCGAGAGCAGGCAGCGGGGAGCGGGGGCGATTCGGGGAGGGAGCGCGGGCTGAAGCATCCGTACTCGTTCGTGGGGATAGAGCAGGGCGAGAAGGTGGACTGCAGGTGTGGCAAGAATCGGAGCCACGGGCTGATGGTGGCGTGCGAGCGTTGCGGCGTGTGGGAACACGCGGAGTGCCAGGGGTTCCGGAAGAGTGGCAAGCAGGTGGTTGCCCCGCGCCAGTGTTGTGGGGATGCGTATTTGGTGGGCCTCCCGCGGGGAGCGGGGGGCGTGGGGTGATGTGCATCGGGGGTTTATGTGAGGAGGTAGAGAGATTGTGTTGGTAGTGGAAGTCCGAGTGGTGTTGGCGCACAGGAAGCAAGGGCTTGGGAGCGTTGTGTTGTGTGAGCGGCGTCGTGATGGATATGAATGCAGGGTTGTGGTAGTGACTGACATGGCAGGTAGGCGGAGGCGGAGGAATTGCAGGGTGTTGTGGCAGGGGGGCTGGGAAGCCGAGGCGTTGGGGTTGAGGTTGAGGACAGGTTGATTGTTGGTGTGGTAGCTGATGATGATGGTGGGGCGAGTGGCAGTTGGACGGTGGAGGGCTCCGGGGTAGGAGCAGGAATGGCGGGAGATGATGTGTGACAGGAAGTGAGAGGGTTGGCGGTGTTGAGAATACTGTGGTTGAGGATGGGGGTGGAGAGGGATGTGTTTGGAACATGCAAGAAGTGCGCCTGAAGTGCAAGTTTGTCCGTATGTTGCAGATCCCGGCCGATTACATCTGCTCGGCATGTGTGCGAGCGGAGAGGGAGGAGGTGACTGTCATCGGATGTGAGGAACAGGTTAGTCTCAGGCATGTGGAACAACTGCCATGACATTTAAGCAGAGTTCTTGTTTACTGCAAGCTATATGACAGGGGGGGTAGTCGGAAGCGAGCGAAAAGCTTCGGGGGCCGGGGGAGGGTGTGTGATACGGAGGGCTCAGGTCCGGTCGGTATGGGAATATAGCAGGTGTGCAGGCGCGTTAAGTGCGGATGAATGTGGAATGTGGAATGTGGTAAGGAAAGAGGAGGACGCAGGGCTCGTGCGGCGTGTAGCGTACCGGTAGGGTCATGAAAGGGGTATGAGGAGTACGTCGGTGGGATGGAAACGTGGAAGTAGATACGTACGTCGAGGAATCGGAGGCAGGGTAGGGAGCGTCGGCAGCGCGGTTACGATTGCCGGAGTGGGGTATTGTTGCGAAGGGTGGAGCAGCAGAGGCTCTGTTGTGTGGTTGTGTAGGGGCAATGGTTAAGATGGCGTCGGGCGGCGACAAGGTAATGGCCTCCAGACGGCGACTGGCTGGCTATTATCCAATGGGGATGGGTGGGGGAATTGTGATGGTCGGGAGGGGGTAGGGGGATGGATCCGGTGGACGTGGGACGGTCGGTGGAGGATGGATGGATGGTGGGTCTGAGCGTGTGGTGGGGCGTGGGTGGGCGGTGCAGGGAAGGGATTGGAGCGCGAGCACAGAGGTCGGGCATGCAGGGATGGGGTGGAGGGAGCAAGGGGATCGAGGATCGGTGTGCTGCCTTTGCGGTTGCGAGGACAACGAGCAATTCGAGGCTCTGGTAGGCATGGGTGGCTTTGGTGTTGTGGTTGAGGAGGGGACATGGCGGTGTTGCAGCAGGGGCAGAGTAGAGCAGATGGTGGGACATATGGGGTCGGGGATGGGAGGGCGGTACACGAGAGGCAGGGAGGCAGGCAGGAGGGTGGGCATGGTTGGGGTTGGGGTTGTGTGATGAGGTGAAAAGGAAGAGTGATTGGGGAGGGTTGTTTGGTTGGGGTGCGCAGGTGAAGCCTTGTGGTTGCAGTGGGTGCTCCGTGGTGGTCCACAGCAGCTGCGCGAGCGCGGTGAACGTGGGAGGTCCGCATAAGGAGCAGCGGGTTCAGAGGTTGGGAGTGTGCTGGTTCTGCGGGAGTCGTGCGAGGGACGGTGCGGGCAGCGACACGAAGTTGGCGAAAGGGTGTCGGTCGGGGCAGGAGGCGTCGGACGGCGGAGATGGACAGGGAGGGAAGGAAGAGCAGATGGGGGCGGCGCGAAAGCGGCTGAGAAGCAACAGCGGGAGCAGCGGAGGAGGAGGGAAAGGCGAGCAGCAGGGGGTGAAGGCATTGGCGAAGAACCCGAGGAGCGAGGCGGGGGCAAATGCGGTGCAATCGGAGAGAGTGCAGGCAGAAGCGTCGCCGACGGATTCGAAGAAGGTGCGTGGCGGATGTAGGAGGGTGGTGAGTGTTGGGGTTTGGACGGTGTGTGGGAGTGGGTGTGGTTTGTGGTGTGGAGCGGGAGGGTTTGGGTCGGGCACGGTGGAGCGGAGAGTAGACGGGCAGTTAGTGGGAAGCGAGGGAGAACGTGAGGCTGGGGTGGTGGGCGAGGAGCTCCCAAGGCAGGGTGGAAAGTGGTGGCACGTTGTGGATGGTGGGGGAACGATGGTGAGGGAAGCAGGAAGAGGTGAGGGTGTGAGTAAAGTATAGTTGAGTTTGTGAGTGTAGACGTGGGGCGTGGGCAGGGTGGAGGGATTGGGTGGGAAGGGGCGGGGGGATGGTGGGGTCGTAGTCGTGGAGCGAGAGCATGTAGAGATGTATGGTAGATGCTGTGGGGGTTGAGTATGGGCGGATGAGGACACGAGGTGGCGCGCGCGAGAGTGAGGGTAGATGCGATGGTAGCGCGTAGAAAGGATGGGTGCGTTGTGAATGGGAGGGTTGTGTGACTGGGAGGAGGGGAGGAGGAGGAGGAGGAGGGACAGACGAATGGGGTGCAGATGAGAAGCAGTTGGGCGGGTTGGAGGAGCGGGTTATGGTTTGGAAGAGCAGACGCTGACATGGTGGGGAGTGTTTGTTGCAGTTGTCGTCGCCATTTTTGGGGCGGCGGTTCAGCGACGCGGCGGCAAACGTGCCGATCAAGAAGCGGAGGATACAGCTGGAGGTGGTGAGATCGCCGTCACCTCCGCCTCCGAGTTCACCAGGAAGCCCAGAGGCAGATGCGGAGAAGGCAGCGGCGGAGGAGGGCGTTGGGGGTGGTGAAGGTTGGGATGGGGGGAGAGGAGGGAAGGCGGGCGGGAGTGCGAACGGCGTGGGAGGTGCGGATGCACAGGCGTTTGTGGGCGAAGCGGGCGGAGTAGGTTTGATGGTGTGTGAGAATGTGAGGCAGGGGGATTGGGAAAAGAAGCAGGCGGTCGGGAGGTAGAGGCAATGCGTGGAGGCGGAGAGCAGGGCGGCAGATGCGTGCGGTGGGAGAACAGGTGCAGGGGAGGGTGTGATGTGTGGTGGAAGCGTCGGGGCGGGGCAGTCGGGCCCGGCGGACGGGTGCGAGGGGGAGGTAGAGCAGGGGAAGGGGAGGAGGGATGTGGGGGAGAATGGGAGAACGGGTGGCGGCAAGGCAGCGGAGGAGGGAAGCGGGTGGAGAGGTGACGTAGGTGCTCAAGGAGCGGCAGTGGCAGGAGTGGATGGGGAGGGCAGCATGAATGGGCGGGAGGAAGAGGGAGAAGGCATCGTGGGATCGGGGGTGGCGCGTGAGGAGGTGGTAGGCGCGTCGGTGCAGAGGACGGGAGGTGCAGTAGGCGAATCAGAGGGAGTTGTGGAGGTGGGGAGGGAGAGAGGGGCAGCGGCGGGTAGGAGTTGGAAGAGGAAGTTTTCGGACGGCGAGAGGGGCGATGGCGAGGGGGGTGTTCCGAGGGCGAAGGAGTGGGTGAAGGCGAGGTCTGGGGAGCGAGGCGGAAGCGCGAGCTTGGAGGAGTCAGGAGCGAGTGCGGGGGAGAACAGCATGTTGCGGGACGATAGGCTGCATTGGGACTTGAACATGGACATGGAAGAATGGGGGACGGTGGCGGAAGAGGAGAGCGGCGCGGGGTGGGCGGAGAGGTCGCGGTTGGGTGGAAGGATTGGGGCGGAGAAGAGGGAGAGCATGCGCGCGAACATGGTACAAGAATCAGAGGGAGGGGTGCGGAAGCGCGCAGCGCAGGGTGGTGCGGATGCAGGCAGCGGTGCAGAAGGGAGAGTCGGTAGTGTGAGCGGCGAGTTGGAGGTGGAGGTGGGAGTGGAGGAGGCGATGGCGGTGGATAGGAAGGGGGAGGCGGGGTTGGCGCGTGCAGGGTCTGGGAATGGGGTTTCGGAGTCGGCGGAGTGGGAGTCGAGGGAAACGGTTTCGTCGATGTGGGGTGGTGGAGGGTTGGGTGAGAGTGGTGGGGTGGAGGAGCACGGTGAGACAGGAGAGGGATCGGAGACTGTTATTCTGAGGTCGGAAGGAGGGGCGCGAGCATCAGCGTTGCAAGAGGACGATGGACACAGAGGAGGCAACATAGGAAGCGACGTTGGGGCGGAAGTGGGGCCTGGTGCGGTGGATGCAGCGGAAGGGGTTGGCGGTGAAGAGGCGAAAGCAGAGGTGGAGGGTGTTGTGGACGAGGTGATAGAAGGCGATGATGTTGCGACAGGGGAGGAAGGCGGAGCGGTGATGGATGGGTGCAGGTCGGGAGGTGCGGTGTTCGGAGCAGGGTCGTGTGGTGTGCGGGAGGAGGTGGGTGGGAGGTGCAGCGTGGAGGACGTGAGAGGCGAATGCAGTGATGGGGTTGAAGTAGAGAAGCAAGGTGGGGAGAGGTTGAGGCGGACGGGGGAGGGGGAGGAAGAAGTAGGTAGGGGTCCAGCGCGGGAGGCGAGCGTGGATGGCGGTGGAGGGAACGGAAGCCCCGTGAGGAGCAGCGTAGAAGCAGGAAGGTGCGATGAGGTGGGTGGAGGTTCCCAGGAGCACGAGAAGTCGGTGGAGGAGGTGGATAGAGGTGGGAGCGAGGGTGGTGGGTCGCCGTCGAGACAGGTGGCAGGAGCGAAATGGGAGGGTGATAACGGGGAGGACCTGGAAGGCGATGATGTGGATTATGGTGACTCTGACATGAGGGTCGGGGACGATGTGGAGATGGAAGGCACGGGAGTGCAGCGGGGCGGCGTAGAGGTGGAGAGTGCATGGAAGGGCGAGGGCGATGCGGTGGTGTGCGAAGTGCAAGGGGGATCGGGTTCGGAAAGCCAGGGGGAGGAGGGAGGCGGGATGATGGGGAGGGAGAGGAGGCACGGAAGTGGGAGCAGTGGCGGCGAGGAGTCACAGGGGATGGAAAGCGGGAAAGCGTATGGTGGAGAAGCGGAGGAAGGAGAGCGCAGCGGGATGGGTGGGAAGAGCAGAAGCAGTTCGGAACGGAACGGAGGTGCGGGAGGTGGAGAGGTAAGGGGTGGTGGTGTGCGGGTTGAATGCGGCGCAGAGGGGTGCATGAGGTTGGGAGGAGAGGATTGGGGGTGTGGGGTTGCAATGTGTGGCGTGCAGGTGTGGGAGGATGGAGGCGTGGTGTTGGGTGGTTGGATGGGGGGAGGCGGGACGGAAGTTTGGAGGGAGAGTAGGTAGTAGGGATGGGCAGTGGTGGATGTGCATAGGTGGGTTGGTGCGGGGAGTGAGTGAGTGTAGTGGGTGTGGGGTGGGATGGGGTGTGTGTAGGTCCGTGTCATGGGTGCCCAAGGGGGAAGCGTTGCATTGTGGGTGAAGGGATGGGATGGGATGGGATGGTGGTGGCGCAGTGGGAGTGGTAGATGATGTGGAGGAAGGGGATGGATCCGAGGCGTGGTAGGAGTGACGTGGTGTATTGGATGATGCAGGAGAAATGCGAGGAGGAGCACGGCAACGGAAGTGGGAGCGGTGGGACTTGCGGGAGTCGTGGGGCGTCGTTGGAGAGGACGGAGGGCGGGAGCGGAGCGGAGGGGAGTGGGAGGGGGGTGCGGAAGTCGGAGGTTCGGAGAGAAGGTTCGGAAGGCGGGAGTCGATCTCGGGCGAAGTCGGGGTGGGACCAGCTTCCGGAGGGGTTTCAGAGCGCGGAGGAAGCACTGCAAGCGGCTCGGTCGAACGCAGGACAGGCGGGTTGGGGGTCGGCGTACGGGTGCGGATACGCGGGGTGGAATGGGAATTCGAGCACGCACTTTGGGTCGGGGGAGAATCGGTACCTGTCGGGGCACGGGAGAGGGATGGTGGTGGGGCCGGCGGGCGAGAGAGGTGCGTTCGATAAGGTGGCGTGGAGCAGGGGCGAGCATGCACGGAGAAGCCGGTGGGTGGAAGGGCGTGGGCCGAACCTGTTGATTTGGGTTAAGAACTGAAGCGATGGATAAATATCAGGGATAC